TAATACATTTACACCAGAGCACTTACGGCACCAAGAACTGATCCTAGCAGGAAGCAAGCTATTTGTTTCTTATTTCATGGCTTTTAAATTAAACTAGAATTAGATTAAAATTCCAGTCATTCCTTACCCCATTTCTTTCCGTTAAAATTGGGCTCCCCCTACCTGCTTAAAGATAACTAATGGAGTTCCAGAGTTGCTTCTTCAAAACGCAAGATTTGGCCGGGCGCGGTGGCTCACGCCTGTAATCCCAGCACTTTGGGAGGCCGAGGCGGGTGGATCACGAGGTCAGCAAATCGAGGCCATCCTGGCTAACACGGTGAAACCCCGTCTCTACTAAAAATACAAAAAATTAGCCGGGCGTGGTGGTGGGCGCCTGTAGTCCCAGCTACTCGGGAGACTGAGGCAGGAGAATGGCGTGAACCCCGGAGGCGGAGCTTGCAGTGAGCCGAGATCACGCCACTGCACTATAGCCTAGGCGACAAAGCGAGACTCCGCCTCAAAAAAAACAAAAAAAAAAACAAAAAAACCCAAAAAACCCGGCAAGATTTAAGAATTAACAACTTAATCTTGGAAAGAGATAAAGAAGTTCCCTTCCCGGTATAGCTACACAGAAAGAGAAGCTTTCTTGTCCTGATACTTGACCAAAGGATCTGATTTGATGTGTCAAATTATCATTATATATGTGTGTGTGTGTGTGTGTGTGTACATAGAGAGAGAAAAAAAATTCTATATCGTCATGGGGGCTTATGTGTTCCCAACTTATTCTGTTCTCTATTAAAAATAAATCTGATCTTGGGAGTATAATTTGAACAAAGGGGTTTAAGGAAATTCTGAAGAGTATCCAAATTGTTGGCACAGCTGTGAAAGTAACTTCCCAAATGAAACCTGTAATTATATTTGGCTTTTTTACTTGAAATCTGTTGTCCTGGTGATTATGCTGAAACAGACATTTCAGTATTTCTTAGCTGTATCAATATTTGGAGGATTTCTCTGTCACAATCTAAGGCAGACACTGGCATGTACCTTTGCCTATATATGTGATGGGGGGAACAGTAAAAGGCCACGCCGACTAGAGTTTTCATTTTTATAAAAAGATGCAAGTCTATGAACTCAGCACTCACTTTGATTGAGACTCATGGAATAAGCACTTATTACTTTATTATTATACGATTAGCCATCATATTATGAGTGTGCTTGGAGCCAATATAATCATCATAAATAGCACAGTCACACCTAAAATGGCTTTAACCCAACTGTGGCAGGCACTAGACAGCAGAGCCAATAGTATTTTATTTTGGTTTTTCCTTTGACTGGCAGCTGACGAAGTTTGCACAGAATTTCTAGGATGTCAAAGGAGTTGTTTAGCCAGAGATAAGCCTTGGAAGCAAATTGAGACTTTGAGCAATCATTTACAGAACTCTTGGTGTGAACCGTATCTTCGTTTCAGTTCCCACTGTGATTAGGATGAACCGTGGAACTCTCACGTTGGCTCCGCTCCACACATCTGAAATTGGAGAGGATGCAGGTGGCTGTGTCACAGCCTGCTGACAGTCATGTAAAACAATGTGAGAGTGGCAGATGGTGCAGTTTTCCATATGCCTGGCAGTGAAACTGAAAAAAAACTGTGCACTGAAACACAGAGGAGAAGAGTCCACCACTGTGATAGTTGTATGTGTCAACTTAGCTAGGCTATATAGTACCCAGTTATTCAATTAAACGCTAATCTACATGTTTCTGTGAAGTTATTTTGTAAATGTGGTCAACAATCAGTTAACCTTAAATAAAGATTTTCCTTTATGTAGATGGGCCTTATCCAATCAGTTAAAAGGCTTTGAGAGCAAAACTAAGACTTCCCTAAGGAAGAAGAAATTCTGTTTCAAGACTTCAGCGTCAGCTTCTGCCTGAGTTTCCAGCCTGCCCTACAACCCTACAGGTTTCAGACTTGCCAGTCCTCACCCTAGATATATATAAATATATACCTAGATTTATATATCTGCACTCTGTTTCTCCGATATATGCTGAAGAAAAGACTGGAAGTTGAAACTGGAACTGTCAGAAAAGACGTAGAAAGATTTTCAAAAACAAAGCGAAAGCATTTTTTTTTCTTTTTTTTTGAGACAGAGTCTCGCTCTGTCGCCTAGGCTGGACTGCAGTAAGTGGCGCGATCTCGGCTCACTGCAACCTCCGCCTCCCGGATACAAGCAATTATCCTGCCTCCCGAGTAGCTGGGACCCACGCCAGGCTAATTTTTTGTGTTTTTAGTAGAGACGAGGGTTCACGATGTTGGCCAGGCTGGTCTCGATCTGCTGACCTCGTGATCCGCCCACCTCGGCCTCCCAAACTGCTGGGATTACAGGCATGAGCCGCCGCGCCCAGCCGAAAGCATTTCTTGTAGTGAATATAGCTAAGAAATTTGAGGTACCCAAGGGAGGTCTTCAAAGCCTGCAAAACACAGATAAATTTTTATAGACAAACACTGAGGAGAGTGAATGTGGACAGAGCCTACAACCAGCTGGGTTAAAGTCCATTTTTAAAGTGCTAGGTGGGACCTGTGACTTCCAGGGATGCTCTAGCCCCACCAACATGGAGAAACCCCGTCTCTACTAAAAACACAAAATTAGCCGAACGTGGTGGCACATGCCTGTAATTTCAGCTACTTGAGAGGCTGAGGCATGAGAATCACTTGAACCCGGGAGGTAGAGGTTGCGGTGAGCCGAGATCGCGCCATTGCACTGCGGCCTGGGCAATAAGAGCAAAATTCTGTCTCAAAAAAAAAAAAAAAAGTTTTGGTAACCTATTTTAACATAATTAGTTTTCTTTTGAAATCTTACATATTTATTTTTTCTTTCGTATATTCAGAAGTATTATTCTGAGATAGAGTCCGGAATCGCCAAGCTGCCCTTGGGGTCCGTCGTACAAAACCTAACGAGAAGATCCCTATGCTACTGCCTAGGGAGGAATCCATAACCTAGGCCTACCTTAACGCTTATGCAGAAAGAGCAGAATATTTTTTGTAAGGGCTGTTGAAACCTTATGAACTGAAAACAAATCTTTTCTAATCTCAATGTGTATATTCTCAATATCAGGCAGTTTTACTCCTGTGTAGTAGACCTCAACTTACTTAAAATGCTCACCAGGCATGGGGATGATTTATTCTCAGAAATATGGACAAACCAAAATACACACATATGAGACGTTTGTTTGCTTCCAAAGTGAACAAGTGAACATTCATATGTGTGTCCGGGTTGATGCTCCTTATAAAGCTGTCAAATTCTGAGATCAAGGCCCTGCAGTAGAAGAAGCAGCATGCAGTGAGGAGGCCTAGCACAGTTTTGCTTAGTAAAATATTTGAAGAAAAAAAAAAAAGAACCACAGAGAGACAAATAAAAACTCAGACCATGTCACCGTACAACGGCTTCCAGTTTCCTACAGAATACCAGCCAGAGTCCTTACAAGGGCCTGTAAAGTTGGCCAGAGTCCTTACAAGGGCCTATAAAGCCGGAGGTGGTCTCCCAGAATCTCCTATTCCTCTCCACTGAGCACCGGCCTCCTCAACATAACTCCCAAGCCTGCTCCCACCTCCAGGCCTTTTTCCTAGCGATTTTTTCCCTGTTCCAGATAACTCTTTTCCCCTGATATCAGCATTTATCTCTCGTTCATCGCTTTCACAGCTGGCCTTTCCTATCCTCTTTCCCTGTTTTATTATTTTTTTTCTCCAATCGCTTATCACTATTATTTCGTTTATTTAGTGCTTTATTATACGCTTCCGCCACTGCCATGTAATCTTAAGGACAAGGGTCTCTCATGTTTTCTTCACCGTTATCTACAGTGCCGTGAACACTAATGCTGGTTGAATGAACGAACGTATTAATGGAGCGGTGATACTGGGGCAGAGAGGATGCAGGGCATGCTTTTCACCGCCATCTTTCAGCCGGCAGAGACAGACCGAGAAAGGAATGAAGGCTACGGGGTGTGTGCAGAAGTAGCCACCAGGGAGTCCGTGCGCTGCGAGCCTGCACCAGCGGGCAAACGCGGCTTACAGGCCCTCGCCCAGACATTACGGGTACAACCTAGTTTCTTATGAAATACCCTGCTATCAACCAATATGTGGGGCCAGTGGCGCAATGGATAACGCGTCTGACTACGGATCAGAAGATTCCAGGTTCGACTCCTGGCTGGCTCGGTATATGTGCAGGTTTATTTTACAACTTTCCTATTCCGCCGGAGTAAGCGAATTCGTGCAAGGTAAATTTGCCTGGAAGTCTCAGAAGCAAGAGGGGCCGCTTTCGACAAGAGATGGGGTTATCATTTCTCTGGGGAGCAAATTCTGCCACTGACCACGTGGTAACGCCAACTACGTCATAGAAACGCTCGCCCTACCCAAGTCGTGCCCAGCCTCGCCTGACCATTTTGGCCGAAGAACGAAGGACCGTTCAGAGATATTAAAGTCTCTATCGTGTTCTTCCCTATTCAGTCGTTTGAAATGACTGCATGTGGCTTCAGTTTTAACACTGGAGAGGCTAGGTCTGAGCTGATCATTGGTTTTTCTGGTTTGAGAGTTCAGTACAGAGACGCATGCGCACATCAGCAAAACTAGCACTTGAACGAAGTAACACCAAGTGTATTTACTATGCAGCTAGAACTGCTTGCTCTGAGATGACAGCCTACGGTGAGTTTCCGTAGTGTAGTGGTTATCACGTTCGCCTCACACGCGAAAGGTCCCCGGTTCGAAACCGGGCGGAAACAGATTTTTTTTTTTTTTCCCTTCATACTACGAAATTCTTACAGTGTGTATCTTTTAACGATTTTTCAGGCCATCATAAATTTCCTGTCTTCTGTCTTACGAGGTCGGGGCAGCGGTGCTTAGGGCGGGCCTCAGAGGCTCACACACGTATCGCCACGGGGAGAACCGGCTCTCTCCGGCTTGAACTCGGGGCGGCTCCCCGCCTGCAGCCCCGGAAGCGCATCCTCACCTTCCTTCGCCTTCCTGTTCCTGGCAGTGCCGGGCTCCCCTAGTCTTCTCTATCTTGGGGCTGCTGCTGGCCCTGCCCACGCCTAGGGCTCCGGCGCGTCAAGGGCCTCAGCTGGGATTCCCGCGCCCCTCGAACGGCCACGAAACTCGGGTAAGTGCCTCACAGACTTTAGTACGCTACCCGGGAAAATGAGGGGCGCAGTGGGGGGTCCCGCCGCCCTCCATATACTTAGGACCCTCCTGCCAGCTGGCCCCGGTCATGATTAAGGGCCTTGGGCCCCGTGAGCCCCGCCTGTCTTCCCGTCTCCAGAGTAATGGCAGCATCTCTCCTGAGCTCCGAGTGTGAATCCCTGGGAAAAGCTGAATCCAGAGGTGGGGTCACAGAGAGCCGCAGGCCCGACAGGGATGAGAAGTCCTAATCGGCGCTCTAGGGCCAATAAAAGAAGGAAAGAAGGGGATTTGAAAGGATTGCTCCCGCAGGGCTGTGGCCTTGAAGAGGTGGTGACTGGCAGGTTGGACTGACCTGCCGTGGGCTCTCCTTTCCTCCCCAATTTACCTTCGAGAAACCCTCGTTGAGGAGACACCCAAGGGCTGAGTCTTCCTCCACTTTGACCTTTCGCTGTCCCATCACAAAGAAAAAATGGATCCCAAGCTTAAGAAATGGACCAGCACTTGTTTAGAATCAGGACTTGTGCCTTGGTGTTTGGCCTCTTACCTCTGCCTGCCACATGGCTTGCTTACAAGTTAATTGGATTAATCAAACGCTTTTATGAGAAAGTTTTGTTGTGCCACCTGGCAGCCTGGGGTGTACCCTCAGAGAGATTTCTTTCTTAGATGTATTACTACTTTTTCTAGGGATTAGCCAAGCCTAGCCTCTCAGATCACATTGCTCCAGGTTCCCTCAAATGACTGATAAGAATGCGATGTGTTTGTTTTTGTTTGTTTTTGAGACGGAGTCTCACTGTATCTCCCAGGCTGGAGTGTAATGGTGCTATCTCTCTCACTGCAACCTGCACCTCCCTCTACCTCCCGAGTTCAAGCGATTTTTGTGCCTCAGACTCCTGAGCAGCTGGGACTACAGGCGTGCAATACCACGTCCGGATAATTTTTGTATTTTAGTTAGAGACGGGGTTTCACCATATTGGCCAGGCTGGTCTCAGACTCCTGACCTCAAGTGATCCGCCTGCTTCGGCCTCCCAAAGTGAGATAACAGGCGTGAGCCACTGCGCCCGACCGAATGTGATATTTTTATGACCACGACAAAAGAAGGGCTGCATTCTTTGGTGGGTCTGCAAAATTTAAAAAAAAAAAAGAAAGAAAGAAAGAAAGAAAAGGACAATGTTTAATGAGCTGTTTTCTTTTTACCATTTTCCTAAACAGGCTGCTTGGCTGGATGTTGACTTGAAAGGTCCATTCTTTGTTATCTTGCTGTTTCCCTTAACAAGACAACATCTTGGCTAGCAAGATAATATCTTGGTTAGCAAGACAATAAACTTGGCCATGTGCTCAACAGCAATCTGTCTAATACATTTTCATTTAAAATCCCCTCTCTACTACCCAGAAATATAAGCAAGTTATTGTGGTGCCCTGAAAGGGGGCAGAGGTTCCAGGGTCCTGGGAGATGACAAGAATTTATCCTCTTCATCTCTCTCTGATGCCGGTTAGCAGGAATACTTTAGCCTGGAAGCTGAGTGTGCCTCTAACCATCCTTTACAGATGGGTGACTGTTTGGGAGCTTATGGCTCACTCCTTCTCTTTAAACCAAATGCATTCTGGCAAGCTGCAACAGCAAACCTACCGTTTTAGACACCCTGCCTTTTCTCATCTTTCCTTTCTACCCCTGCATCTCCCAGTCTCTCTCACTTAACTCCCATGGAAACTCATGCTGCGTCTCTAATACTTTGGAAGATGAAGAACAAACAGGCCCTGGAGAGTGACTGACACCATGTGACCTCTTGCTTCTGTAGCACACAGCATCTTGCCTGTTAATCTTTTTATTTTTTATTTTTTATTGAGACAGAGTCTCGCTCTGTCACCCAGGCTGGAGTCCAGTGGCGCAATCTTGGCTCACTGCAACCTCCGCCTCCCGGGCTCAAGTGATTCTCCTGCCTCAACCTCCCAAGTAGCTGGGACTATAGGCATGTGCCACCACACCCAGCTAATTTTTGCATTTTTAGTAGAGATGGGTTTCACCATGTTGGCCAGGCTGGTCTTGAACTCCTGACCTCAAGTGATCCACCTGCCTCCACCTCCCAAAGTGCTGGGATTACAGGCGTGAGCCACTGAGCCCAGCATTGCCTGTGATTTTTTTATTGTATATTAATTATATCCTTTATTCTCTCCTTCCTAAGCTTGGTGTTCATAACTTTCTTCCACGTCTTCCTTCCAACCCCCAAACACGATCTTTCCTTAAGTAAGAGGCAGGGAAGAAGAGGGGAGCCTTCTGATTTTGGGGTGGGATTGAGGCTAAAACCCAAATTAGAACTACCTCCCAGAAACACAGTTCTGTATCCATTGAAAGAGCAAAAAGATGCTGCTAAAATGTGCCTTGTGTTTGCTAGGGATGAGGTGAAAATGAGTATTGAATGAGGTGGCATTTTGGTCCATGGATTTGCTTGCTATGAAAGAGAAAAAACATGGAAAAATATATTTTGAGAGCTGGGTGAGACCCCCAAATTAATCTAATCCAAGATGTTTCCCTAGTCACTAAATTATTTATTTATTTATTTTTTTTTTAATAGAGTCTCACTCTATTGCCCAGGCTGGAGTGCAATGGCGCAGTCTCGGCTCACTGCAACCTCTGCCTCCCAGGTTCAAGCAGTTCTCCTGCCTCAGCATCCTGAGGAGCTGGGATTACAGGCACGTACCACCACCCCTGGCTAATTTTTGTATTTTTTAGTAGAGCCAGGGTTTCACCATGTTGGCCAGGCTGGTGTTGAACTCCTGACCTCGTGATCTTCCCACCTTGGCCTCCCAAAGTTCTGGGATTACAGGCGTGAGCCACCACGCTCTACTGAAGTCACTAAATTCTTACACTGTTCCCTCTTATGTTAGTCCGTTAGGGCTACCAAAACAAGGTACCACAGGCTGGGTGGCTTAAACAACAAAAATTAATTTTCTTTGACTTCTGGAGGGTAGAAGTCCAAGATCAAGATGTCGGCAGGTTTGGTTTCTTCTGAGGCCTCTCTTTGACTTGCAGATGGCTGCCTCCCACTACGTCCTTAGATGTGTTCCTCTATGTTGTCTGTATCCTAATCTCCTCTTCCTATAAGTACACCAGTCATTTGAATTAGGGCCCACCCATAAGACCCTATTTTGCTTTTTATTTCACTATTAGTTTTTTTTTTTTTAAGCTATTTCTGCCGGTTAATTTAAACATCATGATCTTTTTCTGATGATAAAAATGCAAGTCTTCATGCTAACAAAAGGATTGGAAGGATGAAGCAGATGTTCCTTCTCTCCTACAGCAATCTCATTAAATGAGGAGTTAAATTGAGAACGTTCATGAGAATTTCAGTCCAGTTCTGTGCAATGAAGAGGAGTGATTCAAAACTTTCACTAACTTGCTCTGTTGTTTGTTAATATAATGTTATTGGAAGAGTTATTTTAACAAAGGGGAATTGTTATATTTCTAAAACTTTTTAAATTGTTGCCATGTCTTGGGAAAATAACTTCAGTATGTGTCTTGATAATTTCTTGCCCTGATGATACCACTGAAAGTCATTTCTCTCTATTTCCAAAAGTTACACAGTTACTAGTAAGATTTATCTGCCAGTTAATATTCTTTTCTTCCACATGCATAAAGGAGTATTTGTAATGACTTTTATATTTTATCATTAACATTATTTTTTTGAACTCTTAAAATGTGTATTGTTTTTACATTAATAGGCTTCCTTTTTTTAGAGCAATTTTTGGTTTACAGAAAATTAAACAGAGAGTTCCCACATACTTCCTTTCCCCCACCTCAGTTTCTCCTAAGTTATTAACAACTTGCACTGGTGTGGTACATTTGTTACAAATGATTAACTAATATTGACAGCTTATTATTAACTAAAATATATAGTTTACATCAGGGTTCATTCACTGTATGAAGTTCTGTGGGTTTTGTCAAATTCATAACATCTACCATTATATAACATATGCCATTACAGTAGCATACAAAAGAGTTTCATTTACCTAAAAATCCCTTCCGTGCCACCTCAGATAATTTCTTCTAAGTTAAAACCACTGTGTGGTGAGAGCTCCTTCCTTTTCGAACCTCCTTGTCCTTTATGGAAATGGTAAGAGCTTTTACCCATCTCTCTGGCCCCTTTTCATTATATGTGTATCTATGTCCTACATTTGTAAGTTCTCTATAGAGTCGGTGACCTGGTCTCCTAATCAGCTTCCTAAAGGTGAGTTTCAAGAATTAAATCGTTATTTATATACTCAGATACAGCATCCAGGCAGCAGCCTATTTTTCCTGATTTTATTTTGTCACCTGCTGTATTTTGGCCTTTGACATGTGGAGATAATGGCCCCCCTACTTGGGATGGACTGCAATGGATCTAACTTGAAGAAAACTGAACGCAGGAAAAGAGGTTGTGTGAGCATTCCCACACCAGGAAATGGGCTGAGAAACAATTTTGAAGTGAGATGGAAGGGGAATGGTATGGGGTATCCATTCTTAGGGAAATGTGTGCTAGGCCAAAAGCTCACTCTTTGGTTAAACACTCTCATTCTCTGGTAACATAAAGGTCTCTAAAAATATATGCAGAATATTTGGGATAACCTTCTTTATTATTCATTGCCCAAGTTGGGTCACTTTTCAAAGTAAAAGGTAACATTATGAATAATTATACTAGGGCAACAGGTATAAATCAAGTCACCCTACTATTAGACCAAGTGATTTTCACTGGTTCCTTCATTGTAAGAGTAGCTCCTTTTGTTTCCTAAAAATTGTTAAAATGATTCCTTAATGTTGCATTTGAAAGAAAGGGAAAAGGACAAAAATTAGCAATAAATTTATGTAATGGCAAGGATTTCTTCAGAAGAGAGCAGGTCAGGTGTAGTTAGATCAGTAGAACTGTATGTCTCAGTGGCACCATTACTTTTTTATTTATTTATTTTTTTTTGAGGCAGGCTCTCACTCTGTCCCCCAGGCTGGAGTGCAGTGGCACAATCTCGGCTCACTGCAACCTCTGCCTCCCGGTTTCAAGCAATTCTCAGGTAGATCACCTGAGGTCAGTAGTTTGAGACCAGCCTGGCCAACATGGTGAAACCCCATCTCTAATAAAAATACAAAAATTAGCTGAGTGTGATGGTGGGCATCTGTAATCCCAGCTACCTGGGAGGCTGAGGCAGGAGAATTGCTTGAACCTGGGAGGCAGAGGTTGCAGTGAGATGCGATCACACCACTGTACTCCAGCCTGGGTGACAGAGGGAGACTCTGAGACTCCGTCTAAAAAAACAAAACAAAACAAAAAAATTCAAAACTGGAGCAATTTGGAGACAAGATTAAAAAAATAATAATAACATTGTAGAATGGGGCCACTCACAAGGTTACAGAATTTCCCAGAAAATGTTTTCAAGGGTGGGGCAGAAGGTATGATAGACAAAAGCTTTAAAAAAGTTACACAGTGCCTGTGAGTGCCAGCCCTAGGCCTAAGTCCTAATTACCCAAACTTAGACTCTTCCTTTTCCTACCTGTGTGGCTCTCAATCTGTGCTCTGGGCTACCCACATTTTTTAGTATTTTTATTAATTCTTGAGCAGGCACATACAATTTTTCTGTGTAAGACAGATAATACTCCACCCATGTGCTTCCCCTACAGCTTAAAGAAGAGAACTCAACGTCCCCTATCTCTGGACTAACCTACATGCCTTCTGCAACCACATCCCTTTCCCAACTCCCAAGAGATAACCACTGGCCAATTTTTATTTATCCCCCCTTTTTTTTTTCAAATTTTGCTATGTTTGTGGCCTCAACATGTCATAGTTTTACATGTGTAAATGGATCTATAGTGTACCTATTCTTCTGCAACTTGCTATTTTTGTTCGTCATTATATTCTTGAGATTGATCCTCGTTTTTGAACCTAGCTGTAATGTATTTGTTTCTGCTGCTGAATAGTATTCCCTTTTATAGATACTACCAAAATATATATATCCCTTCTACTATTGAAGGACATTTGGGTGATTTACAGGTTTTTGAAATTACAGTGTTGCTGGAAACATTCTTGTGGAGATCTCCTGTCCACACCTCCAAGAATCCCTCTAAGTAAACACCTAGACATAAAATTGCTTTACATAATACCACTGTTTCCAGCGTGCTTTACAAATAACCACTGTTTCCTGAAGCAAATACACTAATTTGCACACACACACACAGCAGTACATAAGGGTTTTGATTGCTCCCTATCAGTTGAGTCCTTGATATTGTCAGACAACTTGGTTTTCTTCAATTTGATAGATATGAAATGTTATATCCTATGCTTTTAATATGTACTTCTTATCTATTTTTAGGTGCTTATTCCTCACTCATGCTTCCAAGAAGTACTTGTTAACATTTTTTGCCATAGTTTTAAAATTTTCATTTTGTCCTTTTCTCATGGATCTGTAGGAATGCTTTATGTATTCAGGATTCTAACATTTTGTCCATTATATGTGTTACACATATCTTTGCCGAGCTGGTAACTTATTGTTTTACTTTTACTGTGCTATCTTTTTTGATATACACAAATTATTAACAATATAGTCAAATTTGATTTTTAATGTTTACATTGGTCAGTCTTTCCCTTTGTGGTTTACACTTTTTGTGTCTTGTTAAAGACATCTTTCCAGGAGCAGTGTGAGGAGGACAGAAACACCCACCAGGACTGCTCAAGCCGCCTGCCAACACTGCTGCCACCATGCCAAAGAGAAAGGCAAAAGGAGATGCTAAAGGTGATAAAGCAAAGGTGAAGGATGAGCCACAGAGGAGATCAGCGCGGTTATCTGCTAAACCAGCTCCTCCAAAACCAGAGCCCAGGCCTAAAAAGGCCTCTGCAAAGAAGGGAGAGAAGCTTCCCAAAGGGAGAAAGGGGAAAGCAGATGCTGGCAAGGATGGGAACAACCCTGCAAAAAACCGAGATGCCTCTACACTCCAGTCCCAGAAAGCAGAAGGCACTGGGGATGCCAAGTGAAATGTACATTTTTGATAGCTCTGTCTTATAGTGATTCTACTGTTTGAAATACTATTTTTTTAAATCAAGTTTTATAAAACCGTAGAATTTTGGCTCTCTTTTTTAAGTTATGTTGTTAGCACATAGGACACTTCCTTGTTGTCTTTTGTGGAAAGGGCAAATACCACTAATAGGGTGTATCTCAGAAACTGAATTGAAATAGGGGAAAATAGGATTTTCTGTCCTGTTTGAAGATTATTCTTGATTCCCTTGATTCCCAGGAGAGATTCTCTGACATTCACATGTCAGCCACTTTGGCACAGAAGCCTTACAGTGTGGGGAACCAAAACTTCGTGTCTCCTCTTTCCCTGATGCCATCAGCATAGACTTGACTTCCTTAAACCAAGAGTCTTGATGTGGCCTTGGCAATCCTAAAATCAACTGTGTTAGGTAACAAAACTCAGGCTTTCTGTTGATAACATCGAGATGGTGTCACTCAAAAGAGCCAAGATTCCTGTTTTCAGTTTGTGGATCCATCCTGCTGGTTTTACTGTATTCCCTCCATGTCGAAGCGGGCCTGTGAAAAGCTCATACAGGCCTCATGTGAAGTGTCCACCCTTTCTGAAAATCTTTCTTGTTCAAAACAGCAACAACCTATGTTGTTAACTTTTACAGTGACTTTTAGAGGAGGGGAGTTTGGAAATTGTAAAATGTTATAGATTGTTGCCTATTTCCTGCTGAAAGTAAATGTTTTTAAAAAGTATCATATAAAGCTGAATACAAGTTAGTTTGGGGGGAGATCCTTTCCTACCCAAAGTCGTAAATATATTCTTTACTGCCTTGTAGAAATTTTATACTTTTGCCTTTCACATTTGTCTTTAGTCTGTCCTGAACTGATTTTTGTGAAAATTATGAGTTAGAAATTCAATTTAACATTTTTCATATTTCAAAGTGGTTGTCTCTGCACTATTTACTGAAAAGTTCATCCTTTCCCCAGTGATTTGTAACACTGCCTCTTTCATAAATTAAATTTTTGTGTACGTGTGTGGGTCTTTTGATGGTTTCTATTCTGACTGACATCAATTTGTCTAATCTTATAGCAGTACAATACAGTCCTGATTATTGCAACTTTAGGAAAAGGTCTGATAAAAACCAAGATGCCTCCACATTTTGTCATAATTTTAGCCAATTTCACCTCTGTCTCCAATATCACCACAAAATTTTTCTTCCTTGGAGTGTCTTGGCTATTCTTAGCCAACTGTTCCTCCATATTACTTCTAGAATTAGATCAACAATTTGTAAATCAAACAAACCCAAGAACATTGAAATTTTGATTGGATTTGTATTGAATTTATAGATTAATCTGGTAAGCCAAGTCATCTTTACAATGTTGTCTTCCAATACATGAATATGGTTCAGCTCTCCATTTACTTAGGCCTTTGAAATATCTTTCAGTAAAGTTTATAATTTTCTCCATAAAGGTCTTCTTGTTAATATTTCCTGGGAACTTTATGCTTTTTAACACTACTTTCTATGGCATATTTTTAGTTATTACATTTTCTGGTTTTAGCTAACGTTGATTTCAATTTTTGTATCCAGCAACCTTGCTACCTTTCATTCTTGTATTTGCATATTCTTGTGGGGTTTTTGTTTTTTCCATAGACAACCATATATTCTGTGTATACAAACTGTTTTGTTTCTTTTTAGTCCTTATACCTATAATTTCTTTTTCTAATGCTCAGTGTAGTCTAGGTGTTGGTGTCTGCTTTTTTTTTTTTTTTTTTCCCCAGCCAGAGCCTCACTCTGTCTCCCAGGCTGGGGTGCAGTGATGCGATCTCAGCTCGCCCCAACCTCCGCCTCCCGGGTTCAAGTGATTCTTCTGCCTCACCTTCCAAATACGTGGGACTGCAGGCGTGCACCACCACACCCGACTAATGTTTGTATTTTTAGTTAGTAGAGACGGAGTTTCACCATGTTGGCCATGCTGGTTTCGAACTCCTGACCTCAGGTGATCCACCCGCCTCAGCTCCCCAAAGTGCTGGGATTACAGACGTGCGCGACCATGGCCGTCCGCGTCTCTCCTTTTTTGTTTCTTTTTTTTTTGTTTTTTGAAATGGAGCCTCACTCTGTCACCCAGGCTGGAGTGCAGTGACGCGATCTCTGCTCACTGCAACCTCCGCCCCCGATTCTCCTGCCTCAGCCTCCCGAGTAGCTGGTATTACAGATACCTACCACCAGGCCTGGCTAATTTTTTAATTTTTATTGTTATTATTTGTATTTTTAGAAGAGACGGGTTTTTGCCATATTGGTCAGGCTGGTCTCAACCTCCTGGCCTCAAGTGAACAGCCCGCCTTGGCCTCCCAAAGTGCTGGGATTACAGGCATGAGCCACCATGCCCAGTGCCATTAGAGTTTTGAGCAAAGAAATGGCACAGTCTAAGGTGTTTCATATATGCGTGTATGTGTATGGCTGCTGCATGAGCAATAGACTGTAAGCTGTCACAGCAATCTAGGCAAAACATGTTGATGATTTGTACCTAGTATGGAACCGTGAAGAGGTCTGAGAGAGTTGGCAGTAAATAATGCCAAGTTTGGATGATTGCTTAGCCTTTCTAAGCCACAGTTTCCTCTGTAGCAAAGCAAGAACTAATACCTATTTTGCAAGGTTTTGAAAAGAATTAGAGACACTTTATGGAAATGACTAATATTGCAGTTTACCTAATTAGCATATTGATGCATAAAGCTCTGTTGGAGATTTGAAAAAAAATTAATATTTCCCAGAATCTTACATGGCCACTGAAAAACAGAAGGAAAAAAGACGATTCGATTACTCCACAAAACTGAGGCCCAGGACACTCCATATGGAGCCCTTACTAAAACCAATAAGTAGCATATATAGTAAAATTGGAATTACATAATAGCATTTTTTTCCTTTGTAATAGTGAATTGCTGGCATTTCTACTTTGTTATGCTGTATTACCATCCTTCATCTGCTCAACTATTCCCACTCCATTTTATTTGTTAAACAACAAACACTTATCTGCACTTTATGCCTGACAACAGATTAGGATCAAGGATAAAAGAAATATTCCCTGTTCTCAGCTCAAAGTTGAATGAGAGCCGGGTGCAGTGGCTCACCCCTGTAATCTCAGCACTTTGGGAGGCCAAGGCAGGCAGATCATTTGAGGTCAAGAGTTCGAGACCAGCCTGACCAACATAGTGAAACCCTGTCTCCTACTACAAATACCAAAATATTAGCCAGGCATGGTGGCGCATCCCTGCAGTCCCAGCTACTCAGGAGGCTGAGACAGGAGAATCGCTTGAACAGGGGAGGTGGAGGTTGCAGTGAGCCGATATGGCGCCACTGCACTCCAGCCTGGGTGACAGAGTGAAACTCCATCTCAAAAAAACAAAACAAAACAAAACAATACGTTGAATGGGATAGAGAGATAGGTCACCATACAGTAGTGTGCTCTCTGTTATAACACAGCAAGAGACCCAAACCCCGATGCCAGGGCATGAAGAGGCCTTAGGGAAGACTTCCTGTAGTATGTTGACACATGACCAACAAAATGAAAACAGAAAGGAGCTAGTCAAGCAAGGAGTGAGAAAAAGCCTTTTAGTAAGAACAATAACGTTTACAAAGATGTTAAGAGAATGGTGCATAGATGTTTACTTTTATTCTTTTTTCCCCCTCTTGCTGTCATCTTAGGTGCACAGATGTTCAATAAATTATTGTTGGATCAAAAAATAATTAAGATGAATAACCAAATTATATCAGGTTTCCGACTATAATAAAAGAGAATTATTAAGTGTTGTTTGCCCAGCTGCCCAGTGATTTATATGAATAATTTTATTTCGAAAACTCTATGAGCTGAGTAGAATTGTTCTCATTAAACTTTACATTTAGACAAACATAAATTTAGACATATATCAGCCTGAGTGATCTAGAGTATTTTGTTTGTTTTGTTTTGTTTTTTTGAGACGGAGTTCCACTCTTGTCGCCCAGGCTGGAGTGCAATGGCGCGATCTCAGCTCACTACAACCTCCGCCTCCCGGGTTCAAGCGATTCTCTTGCCTCAGCCTCCCGAGTAGCTGGAATTACAGGCGCCTGCCACCGTGCCCGGCTACTTTTTTGTGTTTGTTTTAGTAGAGACAGAGTTTCACCGTGTTTGCCAGGCTGGTCTCGAATTCCTGACCTCGTGATCCGCCCGCCTTGGCCTCCCAAAGTGCTGGGATTACAGGCGTGAGCCACCACGCCCGGCCTAGAACTTTTAATAACCAAATTTCTGACCCTCACATCTGAGGAACTGAGCATGGAAGAGTTGGAAAGAAGAGGAAGGGAAACTCATTTTTCTGTATCCGTCCTTGCACCACTACCTTCTTTTCTCAGTAGTAGTTGTGTTACAGGAAAGGGGCCCCGATCCAGACCCCAAGGGAGGGTTCTTGGCTTTCACGAAAGAAAGAATTCAGGGCGAGTGTGCAGTGCAAAGTAAGAGCAAGTTTAATAAGAAAGTTAAGTAGTGAAAGTACAGCTACTCCATAGACAAGAGTAGGGTGTTCCTGAAACACTGAGGAACGCATCCACCCTAGGTACAATACTTATATATATGGGGAGATGTGCTCTGCTACAAGGGTTTGTGATAAAGGATTAATTTTCTTATTATATTTTGTAAGAACCGATAATATTATATTTAAAGCAAAATTTCGAATGCCTTTGTTCTCCAGATGTGGGGACATCTGGACACTCCCAAGTCTGGGTCTGTTTACTAAACATTATTAATTTGTTTCCTTAACCATAAATATCTAGAGGCTAGGAATGCCTGACTTTCTGGTAATGCAGCCCAGCAAAAGTTCCAGCCTCGTTTTCCTAGTCCTCACTCAAAATGGAGTCGCTCTGGTTCGAATGCCTCTGACAGAGATACTGGTAAAATGTACCTCCCTCGGTTGCAGTGAGCCGTGATCGCTCCCCTGAACTCCATCCGGTCTGGGAGATAGAGTGAGACTCCGTTTCAAAAAACAAAAAAGAAAAAGAAAAAAAAATTACCTCCTGCTTCTCTCAAAACTCTCCAATGGCCTTCAACCTGGGTCATCAACATGGCCTGGAAGAGCCCTACTAGGGGTACTCAAGAGCGCGGCCCAAGCGCCGCAACGCCCCGCCCCTCTGGCCGCTCTGCTCTGGGACGCACTTCCGACGCCCTCGAGGCCTGGGAGGTCAGCGCCTCTTGGTGTCGCCCTGCGGGGCCGGCTCTGGTTGGCTCACTGATTCCCACTTGGGTAGGGGAGGCTTGACTGAGCTCCCACCCGGAATTTCACCTTAGACCTTTAAAGACCTTGTTCCGGCCTCAGGAGCCAGCGCTAATCTCTAGTCCTCATT